CGCCAAAGTCCGCCGCCCGCGCGCGCCACCCGCCGTCACTGCCGGGGAGCGTCGCCAAACGCCCCTGCCTGCGGCCGCCCCAACATCCCCCCAGCCCGGGTCGGGAAGCTGGCAGGCTCGCAACAATCGGGCTTCGGAAGCCGTCGGGCGGGCCGCGGGGCGCCGGGAGGACGCGGGCCCTCCCGCTCCAGCGATCCTGCCGTTGCGCAACTCGGGGCGTTTGCAAAATCCGCTTGTCCGGAACGCGGCGGACGGAGACGCTCCGGGAGGACGGGGGTGAGCGGTGGGCGAGTGGCTGAGTGCACGCGGGAGCCCGCGGGCCAGCGCGAGGTTGTGAGACCGTCTCCGCGCGCGCCGTCCCGGGATCCGGCCGACGCGCTCCGCAGCAGGCCGGCACTTTGCACGCGCTCCCTAAGTCTGCCCCCGCCCCCGGCTCCCCTGCCCTTGGGGGCCTTGCCGGGGCGGGGCGAACGCAAAGGCGCAGGCGCGGGGGTGACCGGGGGCGTGGCCAGGCTGCGTGCGCGCGCAGGCAGCTGCGCTCCAACCGGGTCCCGCTCCGCCCGGTCCGGCCCCGACATGAGCTCGGGCGCGGCGGCGGGTTCGGTGCGGGTGCGCTACCTCGTGTACTTCCAGTACTTGGGCACAGACTTTAAGTACGTACCCGGACCTCCCGCCGTCCCCGCGCCCCGACGGGTAGCCCGGCGCCGCGGGAAGCCCCGGAGCTTGACCCGGAGAGCAGCGGCCTGGCGCCCGGGGGTAGAGCGAGAGCCAAATTCAGGGCCCGCCCCGCCCGCCTCGGGCCGACACGGGGAAGTGATGGCCGCGTTGGGCGCAGAGGGCGGGGCAGGCCTGAGGCGGTGGCCGCGCGCGCTCACCTGCCCTGCCTCTGCCCGCAGCGGGGTCGCGGCCGTGAGGGGCGCCCAGCGCGCCGTCGGGGTCCAGAACTACCTGGAGGTGAGCTCCGCCGGCGGCCGCCGGGATGAAGGAGGGCGACCCCGGGGAGGAGCATATGGGAGCCCCCGTGCCTGGGGGCTCGGGGAGCCGTCCTCCGCGGCTCCGGGTCTTCGCCCCGCGCTGCCCGCCCCGCCCCTGGCGGCTCTGTCCCCGCAGGAGGCCGCAGAGCGGCTGAACTCGGTCGTGCCGGTGAAGTTCACTATCTCCAGCCGCACGGATGCCGGGGTCCACGCCCTGAGCAACGCGGCGCACCTGGACGTCCAGCGCCGCTCAGGCCAGCCACCCTTCTCTCCTGAGGTCCTGGCCAAGGCCCTCAACACCCACCTGAAGCACCCGGCCATCCGGTGAGCACCGCTCTGCTCTCCACCCCACCCCTCATTTGTCCACTGCACATGGAGGCCGCAGGTTGGGAAAGACTTTGTGTCCGGAGAGAACTTCCCAGGGTTGATGGGGAGGATACCAAGGTGTCACTTGGGCTGACACAGTCACAGTCGCATGCCTGACCTCGCTCCCGCAGGGTACTCCAGGCCTTCCGCGTGCCCAGCGACTTCCATGCCCGCTACGCAGCCACTTCCAGGACCTACCTGTACCGCCTGGCCACCGGCTGCCCCTGGCCTGACCAGCTGTCTGTGTTTGAACAAAACCGGTGCTGGGCACTGCGGGCAGAGTGAGTGTGGGTGTCAGGGTGAGCGGGAGGGGTGCCAGGCCCACCTGCTGGCCATTCCCTCCTGACCACTCACCTGGCTCCCTGCAGCTGCTTGGATGTGGCTGCCATGCAGGAGGCTGCCCAGCACCTCCTGGGGACGCATGACTTCAGCGCCTTCCAGTCAGCCGGCAGCCCAGCCACGAGCTCGGTGCGCACGCTGCGCCGAGCCTCAGTGTCCCCTGAGCTGTCCAGCCCCTTTGTCCTCCCCCAGGAGAGCAGGTGAGGAGGGGTGGCCTGCACGCTCATCTGGAGGCTGCAGGACTGGATTGATGTCCAGCATCTTCCTTGGCGAGGGCAGTGCAGAGACAGGACATGGCTGGACTTGGGGATCCCTGGGCACCCGTCAGGCCTTGTTGGGGGTGTGCTGGGCAGTTGAGTGGCACCCATGAACCTGCAGCTGTGCCCCGCCCCTGGGCTGGGGTCCCTGCCAGGCTGGGAAGAGGACAGAATGCTGCCTTTCTCCGAGGGCACCCTGCCCTGCCCAGAGCGCACTGCCTAGCGGATGGATCTTGGCAGCCACTGAAAAGGCCCCACTGGGGAGAAGCCCCAGGCTAGTGGTTTCGGCCCAGCCTGGCAGAGGGTTGGTTCCACTGCCCCCAGCACTGTCCGGGGGGGCCTCTCGCCAGATGGTAGCTACTGACTTCCAGAACCTTTCCAGTTTGGGCCAGCACTGAAAGGAGGGACTTCTGCATGGCCAACCTTAGACTCACCAAAGAGCCTCTGGCCTGAACTTGGGGTCTCTAGCAGATGAGCTGGCTGTGCTCCCTCTCCTCAGCTGCCCCAGAGGCTGGACTAGGACCTCAGCCTCAGCAACATCTCCACCTGAGGGCCCAGTCCCCACAGCCAAGGCCCCCAAAAAGCCCTGTTCTCAAAAGCATTCGTTGTCTGGTTTTAATCTTCCTGCTGGTTTCGTTTAGGGGTGGGGTGGTCAGTGCAGGCCCCTGGGGTGGAAAAGAGGGTGGCAACCAATCTTCCCCTGCCCCCTGCCCAGCCTCCTCCCTGTCAGAGGGTATACTGTGGGCTGGTGTTGGCCTTGGCCCGGATGTCACAGGCGCCTGTGTTTCCAGGAGGTTGCGGTTCTGGAGCCTGGAATTTGAAAGCCAGTCCTTTCTGTACAGACAGGTGGGCTCCGTCCTGGGGCCTCCCAGGGGCGGGGTGTGGCGGGAGCTCAGGCCACCATGGCATTCTGGGCCTTGGGTTGCAGGTGCGGAGGATGACAGCTGTGCTGGTGGCCGTGGGGCTAGGGGCTCTGACGCCTGCTCAGGTGAAGATGATTCTGGAGAGCCGGGATCCCCTGGGCAGGCACCAGACACGTGTGGCCCCAGCCCACGGCTTGTTCCTGAAGTCAGTGCTTTACGGGGGCCTTGGAGACCTTGGTAAGCCCTGCCTGCACCTACTGATTGATCCCCTCTCAGTGCTGACTCCTCGCTGGGGTAGGGGGCTCTTGGTGGCAGTGCCATCACAGCCCTCATCTGTCGTCTTAGCAACTGGAAATCCAGCCAGGGCCCAGTGCGAAAGCCAGGGGCCAGGGAGGCCCGATGACCTCAGGCCAGAGACCAGCAGCCCAAAGGCAGGCAGCCTGGAGTGAGGTGCCCACTTCCCCCGCAGCCACAACCCCTCGGCCCAAGCCCCACTCCTGACCTGGTCCCTCTAAGCAAGTTCTCAGTGGGGGAGGGTACCTGACAGGGGGCTCCAGGAGGCAGGGGGCAGGGGCTTGAACCCTGGGGCAAAGGCGGGGCCCAACCCCTGCAGAGAGCACCCTGTCCCCAAGCTGACCTAGCGTCTGTCTACAGCTCCTGCGGCCCCAAAGCTCCTGGCCTTCTATGTCCTGCAGGGTCCACAGCATGGAAGCCACAGCTGACCCTCAGATGCCCAGCACAGGTCAGGGTAGCCATGGCACGCTGGACCCTGCCCAGCTCTGCCCACCACTGTGCCCGGCAGGGACCAGCCCTGAATTGTCATACACTCTGCCACCTGGGGCTGCAGTGGGCCTCCTGCCTCTCATAGGCCTGTACCTGCCTGAAGTCCCCACCACCTGGGTGCCCTGGGTGGGCTGCCATGGGGGCAGGGGGCAAGCACTAAGAAAGGGACACCCAAGCAGCCTTGGTTCTGTCTTTACTGCAAATTAATACTCTGGGAGCCCCCACCCAGAAGTAGAAATAAAAGGTGAAGAGGCCCCCAGACTCTTTCATTTCTTCAGCCAAAAACAGCCACTCGGGCAGGGACGTGACACTGTGATCTTGTCCCCGAAGACAAGGGCTGTGGTTCACACTGGGACACACAGGGAAAACCCAGGGCACAGACATGGTCCTGGAGCGGAAGCCCAGGTTCCTCCCCCAGCTGAGCAAAAGGCAGAGGTGGCCGACTAGCGGTCAGCTGGCCTCAGCTGGGGGCCTGGGGCAGGCCTTTCTTGAGTAGTGCCGTGAGGTAGCTCCCCAGCTCTTCGTCCTACGGAGGCAAGAGGGCTGTCGTCCATCCTCCCCATCCCGCCTCACCCAGGCAGCCCAGGGCGACGGGCTGACCCCACTTGTCCCAACCCACTGCCGGATGCAGGACCCCTGGTCATGTCTCTTACCTGGTATGTCCAGGAGACCAACAGCACCTTGGTGCCTGGGTCCTCCGAGTGGGCTGCAGCCTGGACGAGGATGGACTCCACAGTCACGGAGCCGTCAGGAAGGTGCTGCACGCAGTGGTCCTTGAGGATGCTGTGGGAGGCACGGTGAGACCCCGCCTCCCGCCCTCCCTCATGCCCGGCCCCCAGGGCGGGGACAGGGTGCCCACCTCTTGAGGTGGCTGTAGACGCGCGTAGCCGTCTCCTGCTCCTTGCGTGAGTCATGCAGCTGCACGCGGCAGGTGAAGCGCAGCTGGTGTTCCGCCAGGCCCAGCTCCTTGAGGGCTTGCTCTGAAGACACAAGCCGGAAGCTCTGCGGGGCAGGGGCGGGGACAGGTCAGGGAGTGCGGGAGAGCCCCCCACCCCCAGCGACCATCCATACACACTCACACTGTCTTTCACGATCAGGGTGCCGTGCAGGAGCCGGGGCTTTCTGGTGTCGGGGAGCAGCCCTGAGGGGAAGGGGGCAGGGATCGGAGCTGTCAAGGGGGCCTGGCTCTGCCACTGCCCTGCCCCCAGTGCAAGTACCTGCCCAGCGTACCCTGAGCCATCTCCCGCTTCAGCAGCCCCAGCGAGATGCCCACGGGGATGCTGGGGCTCGTGGGCAGCGTCACTGTCTCACCGTTGGCCGGCATGTAGCAGTTGACCCCTAAACCAGGGGGCAAAGAGAGCTTCAGTCCTCCAGCTGGCCCTGCCCCCTCTGACCTTGTGGGTGGGCCCTGCCCGCAGCCCCTCTGCATTGGCCGAGCCCACCCTCTGCCTGGGCTGCCTACGGAATTCCTGCTCGATCTTCTGCTTCAGGAACTCCATCTTCTTGGCCTCGCCATGCACCAGCAGCACGCTCTCAGGCTCTGCCTGGCCCACTAGCTGCATGATGCCCTTGGCGTCTGCGTGGGCACTGAAGGACATGTACTCCACCTGCATCTTGACCTCCAGCTGCAGCGTCACAGCGCACACGGGCCGTCAGCACAGGCGGCAGGCATGGAGGCCCCACCACCACCGAAGAGGGGGTCCAGAGCTGGTGGGGAGAGGTGGGGACTCACCACCTGCCGTCCCTCCATCTCCAGCTTGCGCTGCCCGCTGAGGATCTTGTGGCCCACAGTGCCCTGCACACAGTAGCCGGGCATGATGACCTGCGGGGGGAGGGGAATGGAGCTGGTGGCTGCCCGTACCCCGCATGGCCTCCCACCTCGGGGCTTCCTCCCAGGATGTCCCCCCACACCACCCTTCCTGCCTACCTGAAGCTAAACCCTTGGTGGAGGCCCCTTCCCCTGGCCAGCAGCAACCCCTTCCAGGCCCTGCTGCAGACCTGGGCAGGCTCAGGCATCCTCACACAAGCCCGCCCAGGCCTGACCACCAAGTTGGCTGCTCACGAGGCCGAGGGGCCTTCCTGCCTGGCACAGACAGGCCGAGACATAATGCGAGTCTGAGCTGCCTGGGTCAGATACCAGACCCCAGGGTACTGAGCCCTTCCTGACAGTGGTAGTGTCCCCAAGCCCAGGGGAGCCCCCACTCTCCAACCTCTGCCCAACCTCATAGGCCCTCCTGGCAGCCAGCCCCGGGGCCCAGACCCCTCACCATGTTCTTCTCATTGCCTGCCCACTTCCGGAAGATCTGCAGAGACTGGCCAGCATGCAGCATCCCTGGTGTGGCAAACACGACCTGCGGGATGTGGGGAGGCAGTCAGAGCAGCAGGGGCCCCGCTCCTCCTGTCCTCAGAGCCCTGACCCTGTCCCTGCCACAGGTCCCACTCTCTGCCCTCCTGTCTTCTCCCCAGCATGGTGCACCCCACTCTCCCCGGCAGACCTGCAGGACCCCTCGTGTGCTCCAGACAGGGGATGCGTGTACACGTGCACACCCAGCACCAGCCCTGGGCACCCCAGCACAGGACAGCCGTCACGCCCCTCTCGGCCCAGGCTCACCATGGGACCTGGGTTGTCGGCAAATGCACGGTCGAAGGCCTTGATGTGCTTGAACTCGAACATGTTCCTCTGGACAAAGGTCTTCCGGATCTTCTGGTTGGTCCAGGTAATGAAGAGCTTGTAGTAGTGGTTGGCCTTCTCCGTCAGGCCCGTGGAGAAGTAGATGGGAGCCTTCAGGTTCATGCGCTCCCTGTAGACAGTGCAGGGGCCATCGTGGAGGGCAGGACTGGGGCAGGACCGCCCGGGGCCCACCCACACCTTCTGCCTGGGTTGACTCCAGTGGAAGGAACTGAGCTCCCTGCCGTCTCACCCCCCACAGCCTGGGCGGTGGCAGGCTCAGCCCGCTTCCTCCTGTAAAACGTTGGGGCTGACAGAGGGGACATAGCACGTGTGTGCAGGGCTCGGTGCAGGATGACGGTGCCTGCATGTTATCACAGGACTCAGGCCCGGGGGTCACGTGGCAGACAGGCGGGCTCCCCCAGGCGCAGGGCATCCTGACCTCGGGGTGCTGCACTGCACTCAACAGCTGCCAGTGCTGCCTTGACTTTCCTGCAGCCTGTGCTCTGCCTGGAGCCGAGCTGAGGCCCCCCCGGACATGGCTGTGTGGACAGCCCAGCTCTGACAGGCACAGGCGTCCGATCTCTACTGCCCACTCAGGCCGGGGCTCCTGGAAGCTGTCCAGGCCGCACCTACCAGAAGGTCTCTAGCAGGATGCAGAGCTCCTGAGCGCGGCCCAGCGCGAACACAGGTATCAGCACCTGCAGGGGAGGCCAAGGCTGGTTCCCAGGAGCCCCAGCCACGCCGCTCACCCTGGTCAAGCCCACGTCTGAGCACAGCGGGTAGGCAGCTGCTCCCTGTGGCCACCTTTGCAGGGAGCAGCTGCTGCAAGACTGGCACCTCTAATGGCCAGAGGCTGTGTCCACTGAGAGGTCATGGCCAGGTATCCCCGAAAGCCAGAGGCCCAGCGTGGACTGTAGGCAGGCCCCCCCACATTCTGCCCCCCAGTCTTGCGCCCAGCCACTGTCCAGAAGTGACCATGGGGGACACTCTAGCTAGCGCTTCATTGGGATCTGAGATATGAGGGGCAAACAAGCACCCACCAAAGGGTCTTCAGAGGGAATTTTTCCTCCCAATGCTGAGCAAACCTTCCACCCTCCAAGCCCAGAACACACAGCACCCCTGTCCTGACAACATATCAGGGGCAGCCCACGCTACCAGAAGGACCCGTGCCACGTGGTCAGGGTAGGCACGTGGCCCAGAGCCCTGCCTGGGGCCCCTGCCCACAGCTGGCTACCTTCCCACCACGCTCCACGGTCTCGTGGACCTTCTTTAGGAAGTCTCGCTCCCGGCAGCGCTTGGAGTCCCGAATGGTTGTGGCGTACGTGGACTCTGTGATGAGCAGGTTGGGGCGGCATTTGTCAATCCAGGCAGCTCTAGAATAGAGGTGGGTGGGGCCCAAGGTGGACCATCCACACGGCTGCAAGGTTGGGAGCAACAAACAGGACCCCATCCCCATAAGCAGCCATGGCCTCCTGCACAAGCCCAGCTGCCAAACATCACGGGCAGCACTTGAGAGACAAGAAGAGGGAATCCGCCTCGCTTGGGAGGACACATGGGGGACACTGACATGCTGACCACTTGCTCAGGTGCCCAGCACACCCTCGAGGGTCCCTGCGCTCCTGGGCAACCCTAAGGATGAAACAGATACATCGGCCTACTTACCCCAAATGCCGGTCTGGGGTCATGTTATAATCACCCTGGCAAAGAAGGTGGCAGTAAGGAGGGTGCTCCCTCTCCCCGGCTAGGCAGTCCCTGCCCCCTCCTCGCCCCTGTGCCCCAAGTCCCTCCACTGACCGTGTAGACCACAGACTCTGAGCCCACTTTAATCTGGAACATGGCTGCCCCCAGCACGTGGCCCGCATAGTAGGCCTTGATTTCCAGTTCATCATCCACCTACAGAGGAGAGGGCTGAACTCAGGCCTCAGGCTGTGCTGGGCAGGAGGTCAGTGGAGGAGGACAACAGAGGGGGAGGGAGGTGGAGACTGGAGAGGTGGTGGGCAGAAGTAGGTGACATTGGTCTCAGCCTTCCCTTATTTCCTGCTTTTCACACATGACATCTAGTTCTCAATAAAAAGCAACCAGACAAGAGATGACACACTACGAATAGGAAATAAGAGCAACAACAGTCCAGAAAAGCAGATGCAAGTTTCCTGGAGCTCAGACACGGGCCTTCAAAAGACTGGGATTAATATATTCAAAGAGATGAGAGATAGGATTAACAATGTTGGCAAACTATTAAAAAAAGTGGAGGGGCCGGCCCCGTGGCGTAGCCGTTAAGTGCGCCCGCTCCGCTGCTGGCAGCCTGGGTTCGGATCCAGGGCTCGCACCAACACACTGCTTGTCAGGCCATGCTGTGGCGGCATCCCATATAAAGTAGAGGAAGATGGGCACGGATGTTAGCTCAGGGCCAGTCTTCCTCAGCAAAAAGGGGAGGACTGGCATGGATGTTAGCTCAGGGCCCATCTTCCTCACACACACTAGATAAAAAAAAAGAAAGCATACTATATTTAAAAAAAAAAACAGGAAATTCTAAAACCAGAAACTGTACTAACCCAAACTAAGAATTCAATGGATGAGTTCACCAGCATATTATATATAAGCAAAAAGAGTATTAATGAACTAAAATATAGGAGGGAGGGCCGGCCCAGTGGTGTAGTGGTTAAGTTCATGTGCTCCGCTTTAGTGGCCCAGGGTTCACGGGTTCAGATTCCAGGTGTGGACCTACACACTGCTTATCGAGCCATGCTGTAGCCGCGTCCCATATAAAGTAGAGGAAGATGGGCACGAATGTTAGCCCAAGGCCAATCTTCCTCAGCAAAAAGAGAAGGATTGGCATCGGATGTTAGCTCAGGGCTAATCTTCCTCATACACAAAAATAATAAAATATAGGAGGGAATATCCAGCATGAAGCACAGAGAGACGAGAATGAGGGAGGGTCTAGAGTGAGAAGATGGAGCACTCAGCACTCCAGAGCCCAATGTGGAGGAGAACAAGAACAGACAGAAGCAGCATTGGAGGAACCCGACAGGAGATCCGAGGGGCCTCACACCCTGAGCTGAATAAGGAGGGCACACCATGTAGGTCACCATAGCACACTCGCCAAAACCCAGAGAAAAAGACGTAATCCTACAAGCAGTGCAAGAGAAAAGATTCTCTTCCAAACAGCAGATGGGAAGACATATTCAAAGTACTGAGAGAACCTACAATTCTATTTCAATGAAAAAGCCCTACAAGAATGAGGTAAGGGGCTGGCCCAGTGGCGCAGTGGTTAAGTGTGCACGCTCCGCTGCGGTGGCCCGGGGTTCACAGGTTCAGATCCTGGGTGCGGACCGACGCACCACTTACCGAGCCATGCTGTCGCGGCGTCCCATATAAAGTGGGGGAAGATGGGCATGGATGTTAGCCCAGGGCCAGTCTTCCTCAGCAAAAAGGGGAGGACTGACAACAGATTTAGCTCAGGGCTGATCTTCCTCACCAAAAAAAAAAGAATGAGGTGAAACAAGCCCATGGGAGAAAATTCATCACCAGCAGATCCACACTGGTGTTCTTCAGTCAGAAAGTAAATTATCCAAAATAATAAGTGGAGAACACAGGAATTAGAGAGGGGTGACGAGAAGGGCAGACACAGCAATGACTTCAGCAGCACGGGTGATGGCATCCTGCTGGGTCCCCAGATACGGAGGGGATTAAAATACATGGAACAGCAGCCTGTAAGTCAGGGGAGGGGTACACATGTTTAAAATGTCCCGAGACTCTTGCATCGTCCAGGAAAGAGGCGAAGTCCCAAGTACTACCTTAGATTTTTGTTGTCATGGATGCATTTTGTAATTTCCACCACCAAAAGAATTAAAAAGTATATAGTTACCAAGCAAACAAAAGAAGAAATGGAACTTTAAAAAATCAACCCCAAAAAGGCAATAAAAAAAAAGAAAAAAACACAGACCAGGAAGACAAATAGGAGGCAAATAGGAAGAGGGTACAGCTCAGCCCAAAGTCATCTTACTGAACGTGGAGTCCAAATGCTCCATCTACAGGACAGGTAATCAGGCTGAATTAAAAAACCCAAACTACATGCTGCTTAAAAAAGCCACATTTAAAATACGACGCACAGGGGCCGGCTCCGTGGCTTAGCGGTTAAGTGCGCGCGCTCTGATGCTGGTGGCCCGGGTTCGGATCCCGGGAGCGCCCTGAGGCACCACTTCTCCGTCCAACGTGAGGCCGAGTCCCACGTACAGCAACTAGAAGGATGTGAACCTATGACATACAACTATCTACTGGGGCTTTGGGGGGAAAAAACTGAATAAATAAAATCTTTAAAATACGACGCACAAGGTTGAGAGTAAAAGACAGAAAAAGATACACCACGAAACACTAACCGAAGGTGGGGGTGGGAATGGTGTAACGATGTCACCAGAAAAAGACTTCGAGGTAACAAGCGTGATTCAAGATAAACATGTACACTTCATGTTGACAAAAGGTTCAACCAGGACGAAATGACCCAAAATGTGGGGGCACCTAACATTTTGGCAGCAAACCCACAGACTCAGAGGAGGAAGACAAGTCCACAAGCTTTGTGATGACTTTTACCAATTCGGTATCACCTGCCTGCTTAAAACCCTCTGCTTCCTCCCTGACCTGCACTCAAGTTATCGAGACGAAGCCCGAACTCCACAGCCCGCACTGGGCGCCCTGCAGGTCTCGCCCATCTCCCCACCCGGCTGGCATGCCCAGACCCCATGGTGCTCAGGCGGCACAGATGTCCCTCTCCAGCCTCTTCAATGGGCTCGGGCACAGAGCTGGGTGAGGGGCAGCCTCGACAGGCGCTCGGCTCACAGCCACCCAAGGGCTGGATCTGGGCTGGGACCCTGGGTGCTTGCCCCCCGCCGCTGCCTGGCGGCCCACAGTGCTGGACAGAAGAGCACGTGAGCTGGGTCTGTGCAGGCCCTGACCTGGACCGTCTGGTGGAGGCGGACGGCCACCACTTTCTTCATGCAGTCCTTGATCATCTGGGAGGTGAAGAAGTTGGCCTCGCCCTTCTTGTCAACGGCGATCTTGCGGTAGTCCTCCAGCAGGATGGGGCAGATGGCCTGGGTGGGGTGGGTCATGTAGATGGGCCCATCGTAGCCCACCATCTCGCTGAAGTAGGGGAGCGCCCCACAGTGGTCCAGGTGGAAGTGGCTGGGGGTGCAGCACTGGTCAGCCCAGGGCAGCTGCTTCCCCACTGAGCCCCACCCCTCCACAGCCACTCCACACCAGCCCTGCGCTCATGGTCATTCACTGAGTGCCCGCTGCGTGTCACTGTCCTAAGCACAAGAGCGAGGAATAAGCAGAAGACACAAAACCTACCATCTTCCCGGAACTTACAGTCTAAATAGCTAGTAAAGCAAGAAGCAAACACTTAAAACGTGTACCACATGGTGACATTCCGTGAAGACAGAAAGCAGCTAAGGAGAGCGTTATCAGGAGAGTCGCCATCTTTGGGAGGGTGGTTGGGAAGACCCGTGTGGCCCCTGAACTGAGGCAGGAAGGAGCTGGGACAGCACCAGGATGAGGCCTGGAAAGGCACCACAGCAGGGGGAATGGCAGTGCTGTGCCCGTCCACGGATAAAGAGTACCTTCAGGCATGACCCCATGCCCGAGAAGGAACTGACCCAGAGGAGCCTCAGAGCAGCTGAGGATGCAGCTGCCTGGGGTTAGCAGATCCTCTGGCGGTTGGGGGGGGGGGGCACTGTGGTCATGCAGGCAAGGCTAGAGTGGTCATCTAAGCCATATGGTAAAGATCAGGGTTGTGACAGGGGCTGGATCCCATAAACGTTTGTGGACTGTGTGGGCAGAGTGTAAAGTGAGAGGAGGGAAAGAAGGAAGCCAGGTCGGGAGGTCGACTGTCACCAGGGAGGCCTGGAGGTCACGGACAGGGTGGACGAGGACATCTGGGAAGGCCCGTGAGGACTGAGGACCAGCAGGGAGGGTGCGGTCACTGCTCCCAAACACTGTTGAGAGGCCTGAGTAAGCGGAGTCCTGAGAAGCGGCCCCGGGGCTCAGCAGGTGACACTCGCCATCTCTGCGCTGGGAGGGACAGCCTCCCAACCACAGGCTTGCTGCCCTGACGCAGCCTCATCTTCCTGGGGCACCTGGGGCTCTCGCCCATGACTCGGGGGGCACAGCCAACAGACACACACAGCTTCTCCGGGCTGACTGTGAACACCTGTGACCTCACACAAAGATGCCACCTCCAGGACCAGCGTCCAGAGGCAGAGAGGGCCAGCCCTGGGGTAAGCCACGCAGGTGACCTGGGACAGAACCCAAGCTGGCAACATCCCACGGCCTGTAGCCTCCACAGGCCCCAAGCGGCTCTCCTGGGCTCCTGAGGGTCCTCAAGGTGGGGAAGGCATGAGCTGGCTCAATGCGGCACTCTCGCCAGCTGCCGACGGATGCCCACCTGATGATCACGCAGTCCAAGAAGTCGGTCAGCCGGCCATTGCGGGTGATGTAGGAAAAGTCGGGGAAGCGCCTCTGAGAAGCCAAGAGAAAGAGTCAGAATGCAGCAGGCTGCCCAGGTCTCCAGGTCGCAGCCCTGGAGGAAGGGATCAGGGCACAGGCAGAGCCTGGACACCGGCACCCCCACCCTGGTGGGCTGCTCTGACTACTCATGACCTCCCAGACCACAGGGAGGGGGGTCAAGCTGCCAGAACCAGTAACTGAGCCAGAAGCCCAGCCTGGGGTGCACCAAATGCGCCCCACGTGACCCTGCAGAAGCCTGCGAGCCCCTACTTTGTTTCAGACTGAGCCCCCATGCAGGGCGCCCCATCTGTCAAGTGATGGTGGGGGGCTGCCCAGGAATACCGTGACCTTAGACCCACCTGCCTCCTACCACCGCCCCCGTGCCCACTGTCCCCACTCCATGGGTCAGAGCCAGAGGCTCCAAGGCCTGGAATCCTGCTGCAGATGGCAACAAAGAGCTGTGGGCTGCCCGCCCGCTGGACTCACGTCGTCGTTAAAGCCCATGTGCATCCCACAGTCCAGCATGACGTTCTTGCCCGCAATGGAGACCAGGATGCAGCTTCGGCCCACATCCTGGCCGGCCCCTGCACAGAAGAGTGAGGTAAGAGGCGCTGCCTGCCCTTCTCCCTTCCCCCCGGCCCCTCCCCTGCTCCTGCAAGCAATGGCCCCAGCCCCAAGGCCAAGGCCCAGCCACCCGCCCCAGACTCCACGGGGCGCCCTGGGTCCCTGGCCCAGTAGAGCCCTCAGGAGACTGGGGAAATGGCCCCAGGGATGCAGTGTGGACGACGTGTGAGCCAAGAAGCATCACCACCTCCACATGCGGGCAGGCAAGGGACAAAGCGTCAAGGCCACCAAGTGAGCTCTAGCCCACATGCGCCTCTGCCACTACTGCCCAGGGTCAGGTAGAAGAAGCCCCTGACCTCTCAAGGTCACCGCCTTGAGACTGAGTCGTGGGTGCTAGACTGTGGTCTCAGCACCAACAGAGGCAAGCCGGTGCTCTGTGGAAACTTACCATCCCTCCTGAAACCTCGGCTGGGGTCACATCTGGGCTGTGATGCCCCCTCTCCCAGGACCTGTCCCCAAGAGGGGTCAGGTGCCTCCTGGTGGTGCCACTGCAGAGGGACACCTGTGTGGCTTTAGCCCTCAGCCCAGGGGAAACATGGCCCCAGCTGTCCAGCAATGGCCACAATGCAGACACCTCACCCCAGGGCACATGGGCGACACGAGCTCACCACTGTGCCCCTCACGGCACCCCCCCAGCCCAGACCGTGACTTAAGTCCCATCCACGTTCCTGACCTCCAAGCCCTGCCCAGATGCTCCAGGCAGTGAAACCTCCCCCTGGCAGGGCACATCCTGGCCACCTCATATGGCCATCGGTCACCTCCTCTGGAGTCTGGGGACCCAGAAGGAAAGGGACACGGTCTTGCAAGCCCTGATGACACCAAATCACCTGGTCTCCATCTTGAACCCTACCAGCCTCCCTCTGCCGGCCACCTGAACCTTCAGGTAGCACCACACACACCAGGGTGACCAGGCCACGGCCCAGAGTGGGACACAGGCTGGTCCTCGAGAAGCTTCAGTCACCTGTGAAAACAGCAGATGACACCAGCCAAGAGCTTCGCCTGCCTGCCTCAAGCAGCCCAGCCACAGGTGGCAGCCTCCAGGTCTCTGACAGGCCTGCTGCTGTGCCCACTAGGACGTGCCTCCCTGAGGGCAGGATCTCAGCTGTCTGCCACCTGCTGCACCTCCAGCCCAGGAGTCATGCCTGGCTCAGAGGCCCTCCAAACATTTGTGAGAGGGGAAGGGCCACTCCTCTTTACAGATGACGTGGAGCCACAGAAGACACAGGATTGACCCACAGGCACATGGCTCCTAAGCATGGGGCCAGGGACCGCGTTCTAGATTTCAGAGCCCAGCTCTTAGGCGCTGGCTGCCTGGTCCCAACAGCACCCACAACAATCCCAGGGAAGAGAGAGAGTGGCTGAACTGGGCAAAAGACATGGGGGACAGAGTCGAGGGCACACAAGAGGAGACAGGACTCAGGAGAAGACAAGGGAGACACTCTGTCTGCGGGGAGCTGACGATCCAGGGCAAGGAGACAGATGACGACCACGTAGGTAGGACACACGCTGAGGGCGTCAGGTGGAGATCAGCACCATGGAGAAAAGTAACGCAGGAAAGGGGACACAGAAACTTCCAAGACCACGACAGGCAACTCCTCCCTGAGAAGACAACTTCCGAGCAGAGTGGAGAGAGACAGCCAAGATGGGAGGAGCAGCTGTGCAAAGGCCCCGGGAGTGACCCGGCAAGACTCTCCAAATCTGGCCCAGGTGACCAGGGAGCCCTCAAGGCAGAAACTGGTGAAGGGAGAGAGTGGAGCAGAAGTGTTTCTGCTTTGATGGCGCTGTGGCTGAGCGACCTTCGGGGTGCACCTAAATGCAGATTTGGGGTAAGAGGACAGTAAGACAATAGGACTGTTTAAGGACAGTGAGTGGCGAGAAGAGGGGCCACATGGGAAAGGGGCTGGTAGGAGGGTCCCACAGAAGCCCCTGGAGAGGAGCCAGGGGCAGGGGAGGGCACGGGGCGGTGGTGACCCCGTGCCAACAGTTAGGAGAGGCCATGGGGGTGATGATGCATATAGCAGCATGGGACGTGCAATCTGACGCAGCAGGCCAGGGGCAAGGGCATTCACCACGGTTGTCAACAGCTCAATGTCCACACCAAGGGCAGGGTGGGCTATTCCAGGGAAGACCTCACACCCTGAGAAAGCACGTGGAACTGTGTGGGACATCTGTACCGGAAGATGCTGGCAACACAGGGCCCAGTGAAGGAAGCAGGCTCCCAACCAGCGCATGCCATGCATGCACCAACAACGCCCAGAGACGCCGGGAGGGCTGGCGACCTACACGATCACCCTAGTTGTTACTAGGACCCTGGATTCTGAGTGGTCTTTCCTCCTTTGTACTGTCTTGTACTGCTCGGGCTTTTAAAAGTGCGCATCTATACCTTTTACAAAATGCAAAACAATTTTTTTAACGTGGCAAAAATCAAGTAAAACAAGGACTGAACCGAGGGTGGGTCTCCAGACTGCGCACGTGGGAGGCTGCAGGTGACCGGGCGGGGACGGACGGAGCGGGTGGCAGGAGAGCGAGCGGTGAGGGCAGAGGCGCCAAGGGGCCTGGCGCGCCAGCCGCGCGCGAAGTAAGGCGAGCGCGGGCGCGGCGAAGACGGAGACCCTGTGCCTCCACGGCACGCCGTCCAGGGGCTAGGCCCGGGGAGGGCTGCTCGGGCGATCCCGTCCTCCCTTCACGGCCGGGAAGCGGGCCGGGTCGGCCCGACCCCGAGCCCACCCGGCGCGCTCCCCGGCCCCTCCACCGGCCGGCCCCCGCCCGCCCCGCGCCCCACTCACCCAGGGGTGTGACCCTGATGTCGGGCATCCTGCCGTCCGCGCCCCCGGCCCTTCGCCTCTGCGTTCCCGGGCAGCCCCACGAACCCAGCGGCCGAGCGCGACCCGCGACGACGCACTGCGCAGGCGCAGTCCCAAGGCGCTGGCTTCCGGTGTGCCCGCCGGAAACACGGGCCCGCGCAACCCGGGCGGCCGGCAACCAATCCCGGGAGGCGGGGCGGAGGCCGGGGGCGGGGCGTTGGGTCCCCTGGCGGCGGCGGCGGCGGCGGCGGCGGCGGCGGCGGCGGCGGCACACGTGAGCGGGGGCGGGGGAACCGAGCTCAACCGAACCGGCCGGGCGGGCCTGGGCATGTCCGAGGAGCTAGGCGCGGGACCCCGGGGCGGGAGGGGGTGGCCGAGGACCTGGCTCCCGCGCTGACCCGGACCCCGGGCCCCTGCCCGGTCCCCGGGCCTCCAGCTGGAGCAGGACCCGCTCAGGACTGGGGACCTGCCCAGTGCCGCTTGGAGCCCCCTTCCCGGAAGAGACTTGAAGGACTTCCTGGGCAGGGCTCCGTTCCCACCCCCTAATCCTGGGGTGCCGGGGTGGGTGTCCCCTTCTCTTGGGGGTCTCCAGTCTGCTGGCAGCACAGGGTTCGGATGCTCAGGCCACCCTCGCGCCGAACCCTGACCTTGGGGCCGTGAATTAGCCCCTGGGAGAGGCTCGGCGGTGCCCTGCATTCTCACCTTCCCAGAGCTGGCCAGCTGCCAGTGCCCAGCCGCAGGGTCACTGCCCTTCCTGTTGTTTCCAAGCTCTGAAAGGCCCCTGGCAGCCCCTGTTGGCTGCTGGCTCTGCGCAGAAACTCCAGGCCCACAGGATGTCTGGCGGCTAGGAAGGTAGCCCTGAGGGCCTCAGAGACCATCTGCTTGGTGGACGCAGAACCGAGGCCCAGAGCAAGGGGAGGGGTGTGCCAGAAGTGTCCATAGCACCATCTTCCTGAGGCCAGGCACAGCTGACTCACGTACCTGAAGACAGGGTGAGCTTGCTCTGGGGTCTCCGCCTGATGCCAGACATGCAGCCCAGCCTGTGGGGCCTGCAGGGCCTCAGCACCTGCCAGGCCCCACCAGACACTCCCAGCAGCCTGAGCGGTGGGCAGGACAGGGTGTGCTGGCCCATTTCCCCCAGAGATGAAGGACCAGGTGTTAGGATGGCAAGTGACCTGCCCACAGAGCAGAAGGCAGAAGCTGCCCAGGTACCAGGTGTCCTGCTCCTGGCTGGGGCTCTCGCCACAGCTTGGGCGGCCTCCCTCCCTTGCCAGGTGTCCCGCAGGGCTCCAGGCACCAAGGGCACAGGAGCACCCGGGCCCAGTGGGGTGAGAGCTCATCCTGGACGCCAGGTGCCCTGGGCCCGTCGCGTGCTGGCCCCGGGAGCTCAGGGAGGCAGGGGCTGGGGTGCCCAATGGCACCCACTGAACACAGCACTTGGATGTTTGTGGAGTGAGTGTATGAATGTGAGCAGAATTCAGAGCAGGACTCTAGCCTGGGGCACTTCCGGAAGGTTCTCTGGGGCTAAGGGAGGACCTTGTGGATGTTTTCAGAGTGTGGAAAGATCTTTGGTCCATCCGCCCTTCTGTGTGGGACATGTACGGTTTCAGTAAGAGTGAAAAGACTGGTGTCTGTCCATCCATCCAGCAAATGCTGACCTTGCAGCCTCTGCTCTGGCTTTCAGGATGCAGCAGTGAGCAAGGAATGGTGTGGCCCGCCCCACCACCCTCCCCGGCCCTCCCACCTCACTCCACTGTCTTTTTTTCCATAGTGTTTACCTTCTGTTACCTACCCTGCTGGAATTTCCTGTCTTTGTTATTGTCTCACACCCACCACACTAGAATGTCACCCTGACAAGACAGGGCTGTTTGTCTCACTCATGGTGCACCTCAGTGCCTGGAAGAGGGCCTGGCTCTAGGCAGGGACCAAGCAAATATCTTCCAGCTAGTAAAAACAGACACACTCTAGTGAGAGAGACAAACGATAAACAAATAAGCAAGAAACCGTGAGTTGGGATGCTACAAGCAAGATGCAACCGAGTGGTGTGGCAAAGCCTGCGTGACAAGGAGAGGCCTTGCTAAGCTCTCTAGGCACGTGTTCCGGGCAAAGGGTCTGCGGAGTCAGGTTGGTGTGTCTGAGACCATGTGGCCCAAGCAAGATGAGCTCCTGGGGAGGAGGGGCTGACCTGGGGATGGGGCTCACTGTGGGCTTCCTGTGGGGAGCAAGAGGATCCCAGCTGGTTCTTTCCACCGGCACCTGCTTCCACCCTCGAGATAACAATCTGAGGAGTGAGATGACTCAGTGAGAAACTCCCTCAGCCTGGCTCCCCGTGTGTTTCAGTTCGTATTGAAAAATGGACGACTTGGAGTCGGACTTCAATCTGAAAGTTGTCTTGGTGAGTTTCAAGCAGTGTCTCGACGAGAAAGAAGAGGTGCTGCTGGACCACTACCTCGCAGGCTGGAGGGGGCTGGTCAGGTGCGTGCAAGGGGCCACTGCCCTGCAGGGCCAGCCCAAAGGCGGGGCTTTCCTGGCCACACTTCCCATGTGCGAGACCTGCAGTCTGCACGGCACGTGGATGCACCAGGCTCCTGCCTGCCCAGGGCCGGTCAGCTGTTCTCACTTGCTGCCTCTGCCTCCAGGTGGACATGTGCCCCAGGAGGCAGGAGGTGGTCTTCCCTGCACCCCAGGCTGAGCTCCTGCTTCCCTTCTTGCAGGTTCCTGAACAGTCTGGGCACCATCTTCTCGTTCGTCTCCAAGGACGTGGTGACGAAGCTGCAGATCATGGAGCGCCTGTGCAGCAGCCCCCAGCGGGAGCACTACAGAAGCCTGCAGTCCATGGTGGCCTATGAGGTGGGCAACCAGCTGGTGGACCTGGAGCGGCGCTCGCACCATGCCGACTCAGGCTGCCGGACGGTGCTCCGGCTGCACCGCGCCCTGCGCTGGCTGCAGCTCTTCCTGGAAGGTCTGCGCACCAGCCCCGAGGACGCGCGCACTGCCACGCTCTGCACTGACTCCTACAATGCCTCGCTGGCTGCCTACCACCCCTGGATCATCCGCCGGGCTGTCACTGTGGCTTTCTGCACGCTTCCCACACGCAAGGTCTTCCTGGAGGCCATGAACGTGGGGTCCCCCGAGCAGGCTGTGGAGATGCTAGGGGAGGCCCTGCCCTTCATTGAGCATGTCTACAACATCTGCCAGAAGCTCTACGCCGAGCACGCTCTGCTGGACCTGCCCTAGGGCCGGCGGGCCCGGCAGGGCAGGCTTCCCCTCCTCCAGAGCTGGGCTGGGGCAACCAGGGCCCGTGAGTCCCACCATGGGCTTTTCTGGGTGCCCCAAGAACAGGAAAACCACTGTCCCCGCGAGCCAAGCCTGTTGGGAACCACGGACCAAGTGTGGCCTGTTCTGGTCAGAGGAGGCAGGCGCTGGCCGTCTGCTCCACGCCCGTCCTCTCGCTCTGCCCAATGGCATCTTAGCTTTACCCTCTGCCAGGTGACGTGAGTGTCTACACAGGCCTCACCTGGTGCGTGAAGTGCAGAGAGCAGGATCAGTGTGTGTGCAAAGGCCAGAGAAGCTGCCCCCACCTGTGAGTCAAGTCTGTGAGATGGTGTGAGGTCACAGGTCCCTGGAGTACACAGACTCTGTCCTGGTCGCCAGCCGATGATGCTGGTGCATGTCCTTCCCAGGCCCGGGATGTGGTGTCTGTGCCTAGGTGGGCTGCCTCAGGCCCCTCCACACCGGGCTGGCTTCCCCAGGGCAGGGAGAGAATCCCTGGGCAGCAGTTGGCACTGCAGGCTCCCTCCCTACCCCTCACCTACTTGTTACTAGGGGCACATGTGTCCTCGGCAGTGACAGTGGGAGCTGAGGCCCTGAGTCAAGGCCTCCCTGCCTTTGTAGCCCTCTACACACGTCAGCTGTCCTCTGCAGCCACGCTGTGGCCCCGAGCTCCTCCAGGCAGCTGCCTGTGAGTCTGCACAGCATAGGCCCGAAGCCCCCGGGAGCCCATGACTCCACTGGGCCAATGCCGACCTCTCCCCCTCCCAGCGTCCAGCTAGGTACTGTGTTCCCCTTCCTGCCCCTTGCTGCCCCCTCCCCACAGAGCTCAGGAGACCCAGGATGACATGGCACAGGGAGGGGGCCTGGACTCTTTTGCCTAGCTGAGAGGCTGGTGGACAGCCACACCCAGCCCGGCCATCACTCAGCGTTCAGGGGCTGGCCTCTACCTTTGGCTCTTCACTCTGAGCCCAGGACCTTGGGTGCCATAGAGACAGTGCCCACCGGGCAGCAGTTGTGCTTGAGTGCAAGCTTTCAGGGACCCTTGGGACCTGTATCACTGGCGATGGCTTTTCCAGTGTAAATAAATCACACTTACAGAGCCAGGAGCTGTGCTTCAGGACGCAGACTGGGTGTGCCGGGCATCTGCCTACCGAGGCTCGCAGGGTAGTGCCAACCACGGGGCGTGAGGCACACCCAAGCCAGCGTGGGGCAGGGGCTGCTGCCTGCCTGCCCTGTGCTGGCTTTAGCTTGGTGCTCCCGACCCCAGCCGAGGTCCATGCTGTGACCCCCGTTTACAGGTGAGAGAACAGACATGGCTCCACCCACAGGGCTGTGTTGAGAGGACAGATCTGAGGCGAGCCGCACAGGGACACCCTGTGGGGAGAAGAGACCTGCCCGGCTGCGGCCAGTGGAGGGGCTGCTCTGGGCCAGGACGGGCCCAGACAGAAAGAGAACACGTTAGGTCCTCTCAAGCACTCTACCCAATGTCAGACCCAAATAGTGTCCAACGCCAGGCCACCTCCAGGGTCTGCCACTGCACCCTGCCCAGTTGTGCCCACACCCAGCAGGGACAAGAGCCCTCTGTGGTGCCAGCAAAGGCTGATGACTATGAGGGACTGGCATGGGAGAAGAGCCTGGGGTCCACACGGGCCAGAGAGCGAGGGCTGCACGTGTGTGTGCGTGCATGCCTGCAGATGTAAAGGTGCAGTGCACCGCGTGTGTGCTATGCCTATGCGTGTGCGTGTCCTGAGTGTGCTGTGCAGCATGGGCCCCCCCATGGGGCAGTGGGGTCAGGCAAGGGCCAGGTCCCTATGACACCTTCTGTAGGCCCAGAGCCCCCACCCCTGGGCTGTTGCTAGCCTCCCCAGCTCCTCTGGGTGCATGGGGCCTGATCTGCACCTCTACCCCCAAGCCTAGTGTCAGAGGCCGGCAGACCCAGGCTACAGGAAGCTGGTCCCCAGGCACCCAGAGGCTAAGTGTGAACTGCCGCCCCGCCCATCGGGGCCTCTGTACACCTGGTGCTGACCCAGTTGCAGCAGCCCATTTGGTTACAGCCTCTCCTCTCATTTGCATGTGCCCTTCTGCAGGCCCAGCTGTGAGCCCTGTCCCCAGGAGGAGGCACCTGCCATATTGAGTGCTCAGGGCTGGTGTGGGCACAGCCGGCCACAGGGCTCCTGAAGCTTCCAGGCCTCAGACCCCAGGGGAGGAATGGCCCAGACCCTCAAGGTGCACTGTTCCCATGCAAGCTGAGAGGCCATAGCCCTGACCCCAGCCACAGGGTGGAGGCCACGCTGGCCGACTGTCCACTGGCCTCCTGGCTGGTCTGCAGGGCTGTGGGACACTTCCCTTCAGGCTGCCCCTTGGGCTTGCGGATGGAGCCAGCCCTGCGACGTCCCCAGCTGCTGACAGTGCTTCTCCAGGGTTGGAGAGAGAAGGTGTTTGTGTGCCTACACACTGGGGCACTGGCACCTCCAACCCCTCCCACAGGCAGCTAGAGATCCCAGGACCCTCTGGCAGAGAAGTTCTGGGTGTCCCTCTCCTCCAGGAATGGGGTGGGTGCTGAGGGTTTGGGCACAGGCAGCCAATGGGTCATGGTCTGGCTGCTTAGAGCCTAGCTGTCCAGGTCACTCTTGGCCAGAGAGCCTGGTGGTGTCATCAGGATAAGAGCGTCTGACGTGCAAACCTGCAGGGCCCAGGAGAGGGAGGATGGCCCTCCCGAAGGGACCCCGAGGCTGGCAGATGAGGACCGGCAAGGGTTTTGCTAAACAAATCCTGCCCCGCCCCCGCCCCAACTCACTTTATCTGGGGCCTGCCCAAATCACCCACTTGCCATCCCTGCCAGAAGCTGCCACCTGCCATGTCAGGCCTGGCTCTCCTGGGCCTCATGGCTCTCCTGGGCCTCCGGGTGGGGGCCCCGTTGTGCCTGACCCAGCAGTTCCAGATGCCGGGGGACTACGTGCTGGGCGGGCTCTTCCCCGTGGGCTTGGCTGAGGGTGCCAGTCTCACCAACAGGACACAGCCCAACACAACGATGTGCACCAGGTAGGGAGCCCAGGGGTGGGGGACAGGGGGTGGCCAGGCTGCGGGTGGCTCAGGTCTGGGGTGCTCCCAAGTGAGGGTGAGGTGCTGGCCACCTGCAGCCCTGCGTGGCCCCAGGTTCTCGTCCGTCGGCCTGCTCTGGGCGCTGGCTGTGCAGATGGCTGTGGAGGAGATCAACAACGGGTCCACCCTGCTTCCCGGGCTGCACCTGGGCTACGACTTCTTCGACTCGTGCACAGAGCCCCTGGTCGCCATGAAGCCCAGCCTCCTGTTCATGGCCAAGGCGGGCAGCCGCAGCATCGCCGCCTACTGTGACTACGCACAGTACCAGCCCCGCGTGGTGGCCGTCATCGGGCCCCACTCGTCCGAGCTCGCCCTTGTCACCGGCAAGTTCTTCAGCTTCTTTCTCATGCCTCAGGTGTGCTCCCACCTCTCCTTGTGTTCCCCACCCCCACCACCCTGCCCATGGGGGCCCTGTGTCAGAAGGCCCCTCCCGGCCACTGCAGGTCAGCTATGGCGCCACCACGGAACGGCTGAGCAACCGGGAGGAGTTCCCGTCCTTCTTCCGCACAGTGCCCAGCGACCGCGTGCAGGCGGCAGCCATGGTGGAGCTGCTGCAGGAATTCCGCTGGAACTGGGTGGCTGCCATGGGCAGCGATGACGAGTACGGCCGGCAGGGCCTGAGCCTCTTCTCTGGCCTGGCCACTGCGCAGGGCATCTGCATCGCGCACGAGGGCCTGGTGCCGCTGCTTGGCGCCGACAGCCGGAAGCTGGGCTCCCTGCAGAGCCTGCTCCAGCAGGTGAACCAGAGCCACGTGCAGGTGGTGGTGCTGTTCTCCTCCGCCCTCGCCGCCCGCACCTTCTTCAGCCTCAGCATCCGCTGCGGGCTCTCGCCCAAGGTGTGGGTGGCCAGCGAGGCCTGGATAACCTCAGAACTGGTCATGATGCTGCCCGGCATGGCCCAGGTGGGCACCGTGCTCGGCTTCCTGCATCGGGGCGCCCTGATGCCCGACTTCTCATCATACGTGCAGACTCGCCTGGCCCTGGCTGCTGACCCTGCCTTCTGCGCCTCACTGAACGCTGAGCAGCCGCCCCTGGGGGGGCGTGTGGTGGGGCCGCGCTGCCCCCAGTGCGACCACATCACACTGAAGAATGTGTCCACCCTGCTGCCGCACCACCGGACCTTCGCTGCCTACGCAGCCGTGTATGGCGTGGCCCAGGCCCTCCACAACACGCTGCTCTGTAACGCCTCTGGCTGCCCCACACGGGAGCCTGTGCGGCCCTGGCAGGTGAGGGCATGGGAGCTGTGCCGGCCCCTGCACATGCCCTGGGCCACTGGGAACCCCCAAGGAGAAGGATGGCAGTGGGGGGGTCTGGGCTGGAGGCAGCTTCTGGCCCAGCCTGTCCCATCTGCTCCAACCCACCTGCCAGCTCCTGGAGAACATGTACAACATGACCTTCCGAGTACGTGGCACAGTGCTGCGGTTTGACGCCAGGGGGAATGTAGACATGGATTATAACGTGAAGCTGTGGGTGTGGCAGGACCTGATGCCCACGTTGCTCACCGTGGGCACCTTCAGTGGCCGCCTGCAGCTCCAGCACTCCCGGATACGCTGGCACACGCCGGGAAACAAGGTGAGTGCCCAGCTGTATCCCCAGCCACACAGCAGCTCCTCCAAAGCCAAGAGAGAGCTCTGGCCCCACGAGGGAGGTAGCGGGGGGCCATCCCCAGGTCTCAGGCAGGTGCACTTAGCCGCCTAAGCCCTGAGGCCCCCGTACCAGGAGCCTGTGTCCCAGTGCTCACGGCAGTGCAAAGAGGGCCAGGTGCGCCGCGTGAAAGGCTTCCACTCCTGCTGCTACGACTGTGTGGACTGCAAGGCGGGCAGCTACCGGCGCAACCCAGGTGAGCCACCTTCCCAGTGAGCCAGCTTTCCGGCGGGCCCAGGTGAGCCACCTTCCCAGTGAGCCAGCTTCCC